CTCACCCTGGTGTGCACACTCTCCTAATGAGGGCGCTGGCCATATGCGAACGGGTAAATGAGCTCATCTGAGCCTTAGATTCTGTTGTTCAGCTGGATTTGTGGGTGCTGCCTGGATGAATGTCCAAATGCTTGCCAAGATTCAAAAGAGGGAGGCAAGCAGAAAGCAAGCCCCAAACCCCAATTCAGATGGTGCCAAGTGAACAGCTCTTTGGAGGGATCAGGAAGGGATCTCTGGGTGTGTTCTCCCAATGCTCCTCTGCAAGGGAAGATGGCGAAATGGACGGGCCTCTGTTTTATGGAGGCGACGAAACGGACTTCCACCATGAGAAATATGTTCCAAGCCGATAAAAGGCAGGCTGTAATTCACATTTGTATATCAAAGGACAAGAGAGTGGCCATTCATCCTAAACAAGAATGTTTTGATCCCTGTGATACTGGCTTGTACTGAAACTTGTATGTCAAATGTTATGGTGTTACATCTCCAAACACAGAAATAAAACATAGGGACTCGTGTAAAACAGGGTGTGCTAACTGCTCTCAGTAAATCCCGTGTCTGTTGTAAGTCTTTATTGCAGAGGAGGCTGACGGGTCCTTTGTGCATACTTCCCCCCAGCAACCAGCAGTGAATACGTACCTATATGTTCTTCTGCTTACCAAATAAAAACAATGCGTTCACCTCTTGATTGGAATTCGAAAAATGAAAAGGCTGTTTGTTCTTTTAATGTTTTTCCTGGTTGTCTGTGTGCTGTCCCAGATGTGGGGCTGTCTGAACTTACTCAACAACCCATCTTCTTCGCATTCCTCCAAACGCCACGTGGTGCTCAGATACCTGTGCTTTTGCCTGCACACTGGAAGATACACATGGTGTATCATGTGTCAGATGATCTCTTGTAAGGTGGATGGGTTATCAGAAGCTCCTGGGAGGTGTAAGAAATGCCGACAGTCATGGAATTAGGTTGGCTTCCGTATGTTCAGTTTTCTTCTGGGTACCATGATATTATATTTTATAGTCCTGCGATGCTAGTTTTCAAGCTACAAACATTTTTTCTTCTCCTCTTGTGAGGGCTACCTGGCAATATGTTCCCTCTCTCCAGCCATGAAAGTACAGAGTCTGAGCAGGGAATGGTCCTTACCCTTATCTGTGGGCCTACAAGTGGCTTTCCTCCTTCAGACCATCACTAAGAGGGGTTCCCCTAGTGGTGAGGGGGGCATTACACAAATACCACCCTCTTCCCCAGGCCACCTGCCCTGTTGCTCCTGTGTAGTAATTCCACTGGCTTGTTTTTCTGGACTTTGGTGTTCACCTAAAGCAGCTGTACCTGCCTCATATTAAAATGTGTTTTTAATTTTTTTTTCTGAGAGGAAAAGCAGTTCTTATTTTGAAACATATCAAGAAGTATGATGCAATTAAAATCATGGTAATACCCTATCCAGGGATTATCCCCTGTCAGTTCTTCACTGAACTTCCTTGTGGTTTTTGCTATACATTTTTACACAGATGAGGCCATTCAGTCCAGTACATTTAATTTTGTATTATGGTTTTACCCACATAATATTAGATTGTTAGCATTGTCCCATCAAAACCCCCCCCCACACACACACATACACATAACACACACACACACACAAAATACACACACTAAATACCTCTTTATTAATGTAATTTAAATAGCAACATAATATTTTGATTTGTGACCCTAGCACAATTTTACTTAACCACCTCTCTGTTGGACAATTAAGTTACACACTTTTATTTTGAAAGCTGTAACTAACATAGCAACGGAGCTCTTTGTACATAAGGCTTGGTTGGATTTCTGAATATCTCCACTGGAAAAATTTCTGAGATGTACAATCACCGGGCAAGAGGTTGTGAATGTTTTTTCAGACTCCTCATTCACATGCCCAACCCCAAAGCATATTCAGGTATTAAGACCCCCTTATGTAAGCCTCACGTAGTGTCATATGTCTGAATAGTTCTTGTGGTCTTGATCATTGTTCTGTGTGATGAACTGAGGTGAAGTATCACAGAAGCAAGCACAGTACTGATGGTGGTTGCACCGTGGAGGAAAAATGTTACTAAAGACTCTGCAGAGACCGCTCTCATTAATATGCTCTTAGGGAAGCGCAGGCAGGTGGGGACCTTCACACTCTCAGGCCTCCCAGAGCCCCGAGCAGAAGGTGGATTTCTCTGGATGCTGTTTCGTCAGGGCCATGAAAAGGCAAAAAGGATGATTTGTTCTCGGGCATCAGGTGACGGACGGCTCGGTGACGTCCGCCACACCCCTAATGGGACACAGAGAAGAGGTTGGTAGATGTGCTTAGCAATAGCGATGGATCAAAGCTTGTGGATATCAATCAGGCAGCCTTGCAATTGCTAACCGGGAGGGATGGAGGATGCCTGGCTGACAGGCACTTTTTCTAGTTTAGTCTTTCAGTAGCCACCTCTGCCTGGGGGATCTGCTCGTGTCATAACAACATTGCTGTTGTTGGTCTATTACTTACAATGACACTTGGTCTCACGGCTCTTACATCATGCTTTCCCAGCAGGCTTGGGCTTGGAGGGGCCACCCCATTGGGCAGAAGGGAGAGTTTTTGTTTGAGCTCAAGCTGTAAGTCACCGGGTTTAGTGCTAATCCCACGCCTGAGTCTTAGGTGTGTTTGCTGCTCCAAAGTGGTCAGCAGTGCTTGTCATTTCCATGCCGTCCTCTTTTCCAGTCCTCCTGATGAATTGCATTTATTGCCCTTCAGCTGAACCAACCAAGAGCATTGCTTTGAAATATCTGAAAGCTATTTGTTTGTCAAGAGTTACTGCCCGTTCCTCAAGCCGAGGTGATGACATTTCTCCCCGGGCTGACTGATTGGGTTGTTTACTCTTTGGGCATTCAGATGCTGTAGGTCAAGGACAATGTGATTCATGACCTTAAGTGCTTTTCTCCCAAGATGACATACCAGTTACCACACACACACACACACACACACACACACACACACACACTCACCTACACACATATACACACACACCTTTCTTTTGAATGTAAATAACAAACATTATGTTGGCCAAGCATTTTCACCTGCGTATTCTCACTTGATCTTCACAAATAGATATAGAAATTGATGTTTTTAAATTTTTATAGATACAGAAGGTTAGCTGACGCACTGATGTAGTTATTTACTCGTTTTCATTTTACCCACCTCAACTATAAAATATTTCAGAATTCTAAAATCACATACATTTAATCAACTTGTGTTTTTTTTGTTTGTTATGAAAAGGTAAGGCAGTGGTTGACAAACTGCGGCTTGCGAGCCACATGCGGCTCTTTGGCCCCTTGAGTGTGGCTCTTCCACAAAATACCACGGCCTGGGCGAGTCTATTTTGAAGAAGTGGCGTTGAAGAAGTTTAAGTTTTAAAAATGTGGCTCTCAAAAGAAATTTTAATCGCTGTACTGTGGATATTTGGCTCTGTTGATTAATGAGTTTGCCGATCACTGGGTTAAGGAAGCAGAATAAAACCCCAGGCAGCGAGTTGAGCGACAGGTAGACAGCATGGACCTGGGGCTCGTTAGCATGCAGCCACGCAGGCTGAGAGGCCCCCCAGGGCCCAGCACTAAGTCGTGAAGTAGATCTGAGTTTCCTGGAAAAGCAAATAAAAATGAAAAGAAGCCATTGACAGGATTCACATCATTCCATGGAGGTAATGCTCACCAGTTGTTTAGAAGAAAGAACGCCTCCCTGAGGGTTGAGAAACATCTTTCAGGAACTTTGAAAATGCCCAGGCCCAGGCTCTACCTCAGACCAATTAAAGCAGTCTTTCGGGGGGGGGGGGAGGGGGGGGGCAGGGCCTGGGGATCCACACAGTTTCTTTAAAATCCCCAGATGCTCCGAATGCACAGCCAGGATTGAAAAACGCTGATGGTAAATCTGAGTCTCAGAGGGGAGCGAGATCCACACCCAATCCCAGGGTGAGCTCTGTGTCCCAAGGCCAAGGCCAGCTTGGAGCAGCAGAGCAGGTCAGAATGAAGGGAGGCTCCGGCCAGTAGTCAGCAGCTGCTAGGGACCCTACCTGTGCACGAATTTCATGCACTAGGATTCTAGTTTTTATGTATAAAATAAAATATGTATAGGTATATGTATGTACATGCATGCACACACACGCGCGTGTGTGCGCGTGTATGTTCACGTCTTTTTGCAGAGCAATTCAGCCCTCTTTAGTTTTGCTCTCTCTTTCCTGATCCACATATTGTGGTCTGCCTTCTCATTCCCACAAAGCCCCTTAGCTGTTTGAATGAATGAAGATATTTCTTTCCTGATAGGAACTCCATTGCTAGCTTCGTGATCAGGGGAGACTTCCACACCCTAGCATCTGTGTGGTCTCCCACACTCCCTGAGCGCTCTCACACACCTTGGCTACTTCAGTCCCCACCAGCACACTTTGATATCATTGTTATTGCCCTCCTTTTGCAGATGAAGACCTGAGCTTCCAAGAAATCAAGTTAACATATTTAAGGTTCAATGGGGAGTAAATGGGCAGAGCTCGGGCAAACCCTTGATTCCTTGATCCTAAGTTCAGAACATCCCTTCCACAGCAGGATTCTTTGTTCTGTTGCATTTAGGATCCTCTGGGGGCCTTAGCAATCCGATGCTGGAACTCTTCCCTGGTCCCAGGAAGCCAGGACCTCTGGGCCAGGTGCTCATGCTACTGCTTATTCAGCAAGTTTCCCTGGAGAGTCTCAGTGCAGCCCCGCTCGGTGTGTTGGTCCCCGACATCCCAACCTGCCAACCAGGCAATGAAGAGTGACCTCACGCGCAGGTGTTGAAGCTGTGCTCCTGGCTTTTCTGGACCGCGGAATACACGCTGCTTACAACCTCACCCAACCTTCTTCCAAACATTTCCAGACCCAGGCATTTGAATCACCTGATTACATTTTAGAGGAGCATTTACCTGTCTGAGAGGTCTGTGCACAACCCTACTTTTCATCATCCTCCTCTTCCTCTTTGCAGGCACAAAGAAGCACTCTCATGGCTCCCCAGCCCCGAGCACCAGCTCCACAAGTCGCCTTACCTTGCCAGGTGGGTAAATGGCATCGCGCCATGATCTCAGTGATCACAGACGGCAGACAGAACGGCTCTCTCAGGTGTTGAGGTTAGCAGTTGATAAGCTGGGAATCTGGCCCCATAGTAGCCAGTCTGCTCCACATGATTAGAGGGCCTCTGGCACCTCCCTCTGTCAAGTTCCTCCAGAAATGGCCGTGATCACTCCATACTTGGTTCACAGTCTCTCCTGCTTGCTGATGGAAAGAACAGAAGGTTGTTCTTCCTTAATTTCACCTGGATGTGTTTTGAAAGCATCTGGGAGACAGATGGTGCAGGGGAGTGAGTATGAGTCTTTGGTGAGAGAGACTTGGGTTCAAATCCCAGCTCTACCATGTTCAAACTGTGCAAACTCACTACCCTTATGGGGCTTCTTGCTTATGAGTTTAGTATGGTCCTGACTCACAGTGGGTACTCACTGGGAAACATGGAAATTATGCATGAACCCTGCTGGATCCCATCTAACATTTTAGCAGGAAATTTTAAGCATTCATGATGAGTCTGTATAATCACTATTTAATATGAGAGGTGCCTATTGGTGATTCTGTCTCCATGTGTACAGTACACAGGCTTACATTCTCTACCATGATTTAATTTTTACAAGTAGAATTTATAAAACACATAGCTTTGGGGAAGAGGTTATTAGAAGAAAACATAAACATAGTAGAAAAACTAAAAAAATAATCTATACTAATAAAAGGGTAATATGCTAATTAGACTGGATAGACCTGACGTCTTCCAGACATCATTCTGGACATCCTTCCTGACAAAGCCAGGGCCTGGCTTGGGGAAGCTGCTCACGGTCCCAGGTAAGCTGGCCCAGGTCCTGGTTGCCTGTGGGAGGCCAGAGGAGGGAAGCCCAGGTTCTGGGTGCTGGAGCGAAGCTGGTGCCGGCAGCCTGGGGAAGGAAGGCCTACTCTTGCACGAATTTTCATGCATTGGGCCTAAAGTAAAAATTATAAGAAGGAAAATGTTGCCAATGCTACCACTCAGAAGTAACCAAAATGACTGCTCCTTCTTTATTAGATTTTCCCCTCCCTGGGGTAGATTTGTCTCATCTCTTTTAAAATTTACTATTACATCATGAGATTCCTCCTATGTTATTAAATATTTTAAGAGTATTTTAGTGCTTGACTAACATTTCATATGATTAATTTATACCAGTTATATGCAGAGGCTTGACTGTGTGGGAAGTCAGTGCCCCTAACTCCTGTGTTGTTCAAAGGTCAACAGTATATTCAATGATAATGCGCTATTAATGTAGTTTGTATTTTTGTTATTATAAACTAGTAACCCTGAGCACAAATCTGTGTGCTAGTAGCTCACCAGTAGCTCGCTGCCGCCCTCCAGTAGCTGTCCACCCACTGCCCTGCCCTTCTGTAGTTCCTCCTGCCCCTTCTCTCTCTCCCCTCTCCCCCCATCCCCCCGCCCATAGCTTGCTGCCCTGCCCCCTCCTGTAGCTCTCTGCCACTCACTTGTAGCTCACTGCTCCACAGTCCTGCGGATCCGTGATCCAGTCATTATGCAGTTGGTTGTTACGCTTCATGGTATAACGATCATTTGCATATTACATCTTTTTATATAGGATAACCTCACATTCTTGTACATAAATCTTTCTCTGGATTGAGGACAGATTCCTATATGTAGAATTATTGGCTCAAAGAATAGGTACATATTTAGGTTCTTAATATCTAAATGAGAGTCAAAGTGATTTCCCAAAAGGTAGCATTATTTTATACTCTCAGTGACGTGTTTGCCATTTCAATGTGCTCTTGCTCATGCTAACATTAATATTTTACCAATTTGATGATGATAAAAAATTATATCCATATGAGGCTCTTATTCATTTTATTTTTAAAAATTGTTTTCTAATGTTAATTTGTCTTTTTCATTTCTTCTTTGGGAAATTACCAAATTTGATCCATTCCGAGAGGCACAGTGCCTAGTATTTTGGTTGCTGATTCAGAAATGTTTTGCAATCAATAGTGTGTTATAATTTAATTAGCATGTTTTCTTGATTATACATGAAATAATAGTTTACTTTATAATCAGTGGCATCTTAGCTTAGATGAAATATAATCTGTCTATCTGATTTTTCAATCTCAACTCTGTAGCTTCCTCACCCCATCCAACAACTGGACTTGGTGTCCACCAAGTAGACCTTGAACTTTCTTGCCTCTATCACCCCGCCTGAAACATTGATTCCCTTTCCTCCCTGGCTAATTTCTTTCTGCAGTCCCTCCAAATCATCTTGGTAGCATTAATACCTACTTATAAGGATTTGCTAAGAAGCCCTTTACCCAGTGATAGGTGGCTTTTTTCCAGGGTGAGGACTGTCTTATTCTTTTTTTGCCTCAGTGCCTGCCAAGGTGACAGGCACATGTTGGATACTTATTAGTGTTGATAAGGCTGGATGGATGGGTGTGTGAGCGGGCACTGTTTATATTAATTTATGACTGTACAAAAAGCAGCCATCCTCAGGAAAAGGCTCATTTTCAAGTTTGAATTTGCATTAACTATACTAACTTGCTTTTTAGAATTGAGTCAATCTTGGTCTGTAGTCTCTGGAGGCCTTTTGCATCCTCTCCCTTAGGACCATAGACATTGGGAGGAGAACAGCTCTGAACCGAGCAACTCCAGTGTGTAGGGATGGTATGTGCTCTTCTGTGGAAGGCTATGACATTCCAGGGTGAGGTGGGATCTCTGACATTGTCCTGGACATCTACAAGGTTGCAGAGCTGACTTGGCTCCTGTCTTCCGTGCTGGAGGCCTGTTGTTGGCCTGCTGGATCTCCAAGGCTTCTGAGCCAGAATCTCAGCCACTGTGGCCTTGCCTTGGGTGGGCAGTCTAAACTGGCCCAAGTTGGGTGTCTTACATTCTGAGTTGTGACCACTCCAAAGCTGTAGAGTTGAAGTGGGTAGTTCTCCGGCTTTGTCTATCAGACCCGCTCCATCTCATTTGTTATGATGGCAGCTCACTACTTCTTCCTACATCAGGAATACCACGTGTTGCCTCCCTGTACCTCAAGTTGTTTGTGCTGGCTGTCAAACAGTTATAAATATCTTGTTTAAGATATGCAAAAGCTCAATGGAGGATTAATAATCAAAAAACAATAAAGTAAAATTATGCAGAAACAAAACTACAAAGATATGTAAAACAAATAACTCTAAAATCTTAAATGAAATACATATTACTGTAAGTTTTAAAAAGAGAAAGGAAAACTCAAGGTGGGTTGAAGATGAAAAGAAAATTCATGTTGGAAGATAGTCCTTAGGACTTTATGCCACACACGACATAGAGAGAATATCAGATCACAAATGAAAGAGCATGAACTATAAAACTTAGAAGAAGACACAGACATGCATCTTCATGACCTTGGATTAGGCAATGATTTCTTAGATAGGACATTTAATGCCCAAGCAAACAAAACAAAACAAAAAAATAGATAATAGAACTTTGTTAAAATTAAAAACAGTTGTGCTTCAAAGGACACTATCAAGAAAGATGAAAGAAAATCCACAGAATGGAAGAAAATATTTGCAAATCATATACCTGATAAGGATCTAGTGTCCAGAATGTGGAAAACATTCTTACAACTCAACAATAAAAAGACAAATAACCCAATTAAAAAGTGGGCAGAGGATTTGAATAAACATTACTCCCAAGAAGATATCTATACAAAAAGAATGTGGAAAGATGGTCAACATCATTAGTCATTAGAAAAAAGCTAATCAAAACCAAAATAAGATATCACTCCACATGCACTAGAATTATAAGAATAAAACAAGTGTTGCCAATGACCTGGAACAAGTGATATTCCCATATATTGTTGGTGATGAAAAATGATGTAGCCACTTTGGAAAACAGTTTGGTTGTTTATCAAAAAGTCACAGAGAGGGACCATATGACTCAGCATTCCACTCCTAGGTATATTCTCAAGACAATGGAAAACATATGTTCACACAAAAGCTTGTCCATAAATATTCACAGCGGCATTACTTGTGGAAACAAAGTAAATGTCCATCAACTGATGAGTATATAAGTAAAATGTGGTATATCTGTACAATAGATTATTGTTCAGTCATACTAAAGGACTAATGTACTGATATAGTCTATAATATAGATATACCTTAAAGACATTTTGCTAAGTGAAAGAAGCCAGACATAAAAGGCCACATATTATAGGATTTTATTTATGTGAAATATCCAGAATAGGCTAATTCATATAGACAGAATGTAGATTTAGGGGTTGCTAGAGGCTGGTGAGAAAGGAGAATAGGAAGTGAATTGTCATGGTTATAATTCTTTGAGTGGCAATAAAAATTTTATGGAATTAGATATTGCTGATGGTTGTCTAACCTTGTGAGTATACAAAACCCACTGAACTATATACCTTACTGGGGGAATTTTCTGGTATGCGAGTATATATTTCAATAAAAGAGCATGGAAGATAAATAATGGCTCAAAAGACTCAATTTCTCAGATGGAAAATGCACCTCAATTGCCATCCTATACAATAAAAGGTTAATATACAAAGTGTCCCCTCAACCAGGAGTTCAACCAGGGGTTTGACCAGAAGATGGGGCTGGCCAGCCACCCTCCCATGTCCCTTCCCCTCGCTGGCCTGGCTGGGCCCCACCCATGTACAAATTTGTGCACCAGGCCTCTAATACCTAAATAAAACCAAATGCATGCCTAAGAACAGTGTGAGAGTACAACAAAAATGAGAAAAATCTTAAATACTATGAGAAACTAGTTATGTTCAGGGAAGCTACAAGCAGGCTGCCATAATAAAATGGAAACCAACTGACAGCAATATTTGCATTGGTAATAGTAAATGTGGGAAGACAATGAAGGTAAATCTTCCATATGCTGAGGGACATACTTCCACAAGGAGAAAAGTGAACTCCAGAGCAAGGTGTGTGAGACAAGGATTAATGGTGCACACATAAGAAAATAAAATATGCTGGTAAATTTGAGTAACTAGTCACTATAAAAATAATGTCCAATTTTGTGTTAAAATAGGCAACAAGCTATTGATGGAAAGAGGGTAATTGCATAGGAGTTAAGGAGTGCTAAAATCTATTTTGTCTTTGGGAAGAACTTTGTAATTTTTCAAATTTTTAACACAAAGAATTATCGGTAGAATAATTTAAATATAACCTACAGTATCTAAATCAGCAAGAGAACACCAATAAAGGGAATATAGAAAATGTATCAATAGAAGGCAGAAAGGAAGAAAAAGAAGCAAGGAATAAAGAATAATGACAAAATAAATAAAGTCAAATCCAAAATAAAAACAAAATTGGATCAGTAGAACCTGTTCTAAAAATATCAGTAATGATAATAATTGCATATGGTTTAAACTCTGGTATTAAAATACAGAGATTGTGTGATTAGATTAAAAAAATCCAAAATCCAGCTCTATCCTGCTTTTAAGAGAAACTTAGAAAACTTTCACACAAAGTTTGCTGATATATGGCAAAATATAAAGCTAGTTCTTGGAAAAATGTCTATTTTAACATTTGTTTAGCAGGCTACTATACAGTAGATTTAAGTGAAAAATCTGTCTTCCAAAACAGCTTTGTTTGTCTTTATCCACGTAGACATGATTTTACATATATTTCAGAGAAATGCAATGTTTTCTCTTTCTAACCTATTGAGCAATATGGGTGTTGAAAATTCAAATATAAAGAAAGTTCTGCAAATAATGTGCCCCAATCCAGAAGCCACCAGAGACCACGTCATTAAAGAACAGCTTGTGTGGTTTCTGAAACTGCCTGAGGGGTCCTCCTGCAGCTCCAGCACCAGAACACTAGTCTAGAGACTCGCCTTGAATTCCTGCACATCTTTAGCAGAGTGACTCTTACAGAATAAAGCCATAGCACCTGCAGCCAATTCTTTTCTAGTGCCAACTTCACCTCTGCCTTATGGGGTGGGTGAGCCTCAGGAGCTCCATGGGGGGGGGGGGGGCGTGAACGATGGAGAGCTGAGGATACCTTGGCTCTCGCTGGAGGAGTGGCCCGGAGCTTCACCGCCTCTTACAGTCATGACTGCCACTGCGGAAGAGTAGTCAATGACTTCCTTCTGAGCAGATGCCCGGGTGCCTCGGTCACACCACTTTGCTGGAGGGATCCCTAGATGCAAAGGTACAGTACTGTAGTCGTTCACCCATGTGGATAGCTCCTCATTGCTCCTCTGTGTGTGCAGCTGCTGGCATGCACGGTAGTGTTGGCAGTAGACGCGGCTCTGCTTCTAACCTCCAGCGCCTGATGTAGACAGTTTGTGTGCGCAGATGCCAGCTGGCTTGCAATGACATTGTTGTGTGTCCTGTTCTAGGGGACTACGGATAACACGTCCATCCAGAGGATCCCTCAGAAGAGGACTGACCGGCTCTGAGGTCTGAAGACGTTTTAGGAAGCTTACGTTTCTTTTACCAAAACAAAATATTATGTACATTGTTAGTTACTGAGTGATTGACTTCAAAAATGTTAACTTCTGACCCCCTCAAAACGGATTTTTTTTTAAATAATAAATACTTTGATACGTATTGCACATCTATCTAATATCAGGGACAATACTAGGTTCTTCTCATGTACTATCTATGACCTCATTGAATCATCACAGCAACTTTTCAGGAAGGTACCATAATCTCCATTCCACAAATTAGGAAATGGAGGCATAATCAAATAAATAGCTTGCCAAAGTTAGTGCTTCTTGTTCTGACTCTCATTGACATTGGCACAATGTAAAATCACCCACACTCTACCCGCCTATCTTTTGTACTTGTATTCTGCCTGGGGATTAGGTCAGTTACCATGTAGTACCAAGTTCTTTTACGTGAAGATTCCAATGAATTCCGTATTGGCAATTGTCTTTTATCTTGAGTTCACTTTGAGGGATGGCAGTTGTCATTCTTGTCATGGATTAGATCAAAACGCATTTGTTATTTAGCCCTGGGAGCTCTAGAATGCTGAAGAAATTTATCCTTACCGACTCTTTATGGCGTAGGTTGTTGTTGATGTGAAGGAGGGACATAACACTGCTGATTTTGCCTTACACTTCCCACCTTCCTATGCATATGCGGAAAAAATGCACACATTGATGAGAAAAATCAAGCACAAGACTTCACTTGTATAATCCCCAAATATCTCCCCCTTCCTGGAAACAGCAGGTCTCATGTCCTTGGTGGTTGCCACGGCGAACACAATGAAAACAAAGAACTTAGCTGAGGATGTTCATCTCCTGGAGGGAGGACTTCCTTATTCTTTTATTTTTAAAGTAATCCTTTTATTAAATGAACTCATTTGTCATTAACTCATAAGGGTGCAGAGCATTTAATAAGTAGCAGTTATTTTAAATACTGGAGGAAGGCTCTGAAGCCAGGGTGCTTGGTTGAGAAACCAGAATCCAGATTCCTATGCACTAGCTGTGTGACCCTGGGCACGTTACTGAAGCTCTTTACTCCTGTCTCCTCACCCTGAAAGGAAGCGATACTAGTGCTTGTCTGTTAGGGTTGTAGTGAGGACGATAGACCAGTTCAAGTTAAATGTGTAGCATGTGCTCAGTGCACAGTGTGTGTCAGATATTATATATATTTATTTATTTATTTTTACCATGGCAGGTCCTGAATGAACATCACAGGTCTCATATTGTTCCATCCTCAATGGAACTGATGTTAATAACATTCCAATCCCTTGCAATTCAGAACTCATGGGTGATTTTTGTAAGGGCTTTTAATTAGATTTCAGACCCGTCCCGCAAATATACACTGATTTGAGATGGAATGAATGGCAGGAATTTTGTTCTTCAGGTAAAACAACACTTGAAAGGCATTAAATAATTATTGTATCTTGTTAGTTTAGTATATGTGTGCGTGCGTGTGTGCGTGTGTGTGCAAATGCAGATAGAAACTGTCTATAGATGGAAATGGATTTTGCAAAGGTCATATCATGGCTTTATCTTTGAAACAGAAGAAAACATGTGTCTGATACTTCTTTTTATAAAAAGGCGCCAACATTAGAAATTGACCGGAAGCTGAGAGTGAGCCACGTGGCTGCCTTTGGTGCACGGCCTCAGTGCTGGGTGCCAATGCCCCACTGCAGTGGCGGGAGATGGGAAGAGCAGGATGCTAATGCAACCTGTGGTTCCACTCCGGGAATCTGGCTGGACTGGGTTCCACGAGGACCCGTCATTGTTCTCTGGGGCCTGCGGTCACTCGGTGCAGAACACCAGGGTGTGCTGTAGGAATGAGATGGATATGATATAAGAGCGAATTAGCCCAGTCTTTCTGAACGTGTTCCGCCAAATACTCTGTGACTTGCTCCTGATAAAGGAGGTTCCTTGGCCTGATAAAATTGAGGGATCTGCATGCTATCGGCTATTCTTAGTGATTCATGATACACTCCTCCGTCATTTAGGTCTCAACGTCCTACCATGAACAGACTCGATTAACCTTCACCCAGTTAAATTGGACTTAAGATCACCTCCCTCCCACAACAACATCTACTCCATTCACAACTTTATTGAAGGTACTTTGAGAAACAGCATCTTACACAAGGAGTTTTTTTTAAAACTTCAGACATATATATTTTAACACCTGAATCCAACTAGCAGCCATCAATTTTATATATGAACTAGAGGCCTGGTGCACAGATTCGTGCTCCAGTGAGGTTCCTCTGCCTGGCCTGTGGGGACTGGGCTGGAACTGGCTCTTTGATATCCCCCAAAGGGTCCTGGTTTGTGAGAGGGCACAGGCCAGGCCGAGGGACCCCACCAGTGCACGATTGGGGCTGGGGAGGCACCACAGGAGGGCTCCAGGGTGTGTCTGGCCTATCTCACCTAGTCCCAATTGGCCAGACACCAGCAGCAAACTAACCTACCATTCGGAGCATCTGCCCCTCTGGTGGTCAGTGCCCATCAAAGTGACTGGTTGTATGGTTGAATCAGACACTTAGTATATTAGGCTTTTATTATCTATCTATATAAAGAGAAAATATGCAAATTAGGTCAGGACTCTGTAATGGGTCACAACCAGACAGGAGGAGGTTGTGCACGCAAGTGAGGCCTGGAGTGGAGATAAGGGGCCAGTGACCACCTCGCCCAGCTCAGGCCAGGCCCCCTGAGCCAGAATGGACATGGACAGGGACGGGGGGCTGGCCCGCAGCCTCTGTGGCCAAGCACAGGCCCAGAGAGGAGACAGCAGGCCCACCTCCCGTAGAAGCAGCATGGGTCCCTCCTGCCTCCCGTGGAAGCTGTGTGGCTCCCTCCTGCTCCTGTGGGCACCGGCAGCTCGCTCCTGCTTCTTGCGGAAGCTTCATGGCTCCTGTGGAAGCAGTGTGGCGCTCGGCAACCCACTGCGGTTCCCACTAGCTCCCGTGGAAGCTGTGGGTGGCCTACTGTGTGTGATATGCGCGATGGGCTACTAGTATAGGATAAATCCGTATCTATTTTCTAAAGAATACTTCTATGTAATAGTCTCTCTCCTTGTCTCGCCTCCTCACACACACAAATAGTTACCAAAAGCAAAATGGTCTCAGTAAGAGAGAGACAGAGAGAAACTAGGAGATAGGCTGGTGGGTGGCAGAGGAAGTGGAGAAGGTCATAGATATAGATTCCTTTGGGAGGAATTGTGGCATTTATAACAAATAAGAGATTTGAGCATAGGAAGACAAAAACTTCTAAAAGAACACCACTTTTGTGAAAAACAAACACCCTGTGTAATTGCCAAATAAAGGTGATGAAAGAGTCAGTTTTTGACTTAGACTTGTCTTTTCCCAAGCACATTTGAAAGTAGTATCCAATGATGACTTTGTCAAGTGCAGATTCTACACGTGACTTGGTCAAACCTTCATTAGCTAATGAGATCCTTTCTGCAAGTATGTTGCTCCAAGAGACGAGAGCAGACTTTGTGACTATGCCCTGAAGAGGAAAGGGCCCACCTTGCTGATAAACAGGCATGGAGGGGAGAGGTTCTGTTCCCAGTTTGCTTCTTCTCAAGCGGGGAGGGGATTGCATCAGGTCTGCTTTGGTTCAGCTGTGGGAAGTGCCCAGTCACTGAAGGGGAAGGGTCAGACCCCCTTCCAGGAATATTTCAGGAATGAAGGAGTCCTCAGAAGGTCACCCCAGCACCCAAGAAATAGAAGTCCCTACTGAACACTAGATGGTGCCCTCATCTCTGGCTCTGCTCTTTTGCCCTGTGATCAAATCGGGGTTCCCCTGTAAAGGGAAAAGGCCATCAGTGCATACAAAACAGCACTCTCTCAATTTCCATTTTCTCCACATTTTGAGTGAGGCTGATGCCAGGCATAGAAGTATTTCTATCATGTCGGTGGAGGGCCGATCTCTGTCAGAGGGTTCAACTCTATTTGCTATGACTCTGGTGGCAAGGAGAGATTTTTGTTCAGATGATCAAAATTCCAACAAATGGGAAATTTTTCTTCATGCTGAGTATTCAATAATACTTTGCCTGGGTTCATGCTGAGCAGCAAACATGGAATGAATGTAGAGGGGAACCGTGACTTGAACGCTAAATCAGCCGGCTGGATGTTGGCACCACCAGCTTTGATGCCGAAGCACTCTCTTGTCTCTACCCCATTCTCTAGGGTAAGGAGACCGTTTTTATGTTTGTTCCTAGACTGTTTTGTGCTGCGATCCCTTGTTTACCCTAAGAAACTCCTCGATCTTAAACATCTCCGTTGTTCTGCGGGTACCTTATGATGCCACCACAGCACCATTTGCTGAATGCCTTCCCATATCAGCCTAACTCAAAAGGCAAAGTTGGAGTGGGTATTCTGGAGTTTGTAGTAATGGAATCACTAATCATGCTCGATCGCTTTTTCTTCTGTAAGCAAGCCACAGGTTTCAGAGAGGGTTCCTAGAATGGAAGGCTCCTAAGGGCAGGGATTTCTGTCTGTTTTGTTCATGATGACATCAGCAGGACACAGTAGGTGCTCTAAGACACCTATGAATGAATATTACTCTATGGACTGTCAAATGATATGCAGCTAGGAGCTCTCTGAGATGTTTCTGACTAAGGCCCAGAGTAAACATAGGTTTACTGTCTTTCTATTATGTATGATTTTGTAAAAAAGGCCTGATCTACAATACTGTAGAAGACATTTAGTAGTATGTTTCTTTGGAAAAAGTTGTGTCACTCAAGCCTGATCATATTAGAAAAATTAGGAAGTATCAATAACCAATAAGAAGTAAAATAACCAAGTTTATATTACTCATAGGTAATCACTGCTATGGTTTAAATGTATGTTCTTACAGAGTTTCCTGTACATAATATTTATGTGTTTTTATAGTAATAAGGTTAGATCATCTATACTGCTTTTCCATTTGCATGTAC